CTTCTGTCATTAACCTCATATAAGTAATGTACTCTGTACAGAGAAATATATAGCTTTTCATCCAATTATGTTCTTCTAATTCTCTAGATTTTTCATGGTATCAGAGCAAGGGGCTCATTGACAGCAAGTCATTGCTGCAATTTCTAGCTTTGACAGCAAGTTTTTGCTGCACAGCATATTTAAACAGTAACTGCATTTTTTTTTGCTGCACTCCATATTTAAGCAATGGCAGATGGGGATCAAAAGACCAGATCTGGTGCGACAGGGGGAGCAAACACAACCCTCAAACCCACAGATCAGGATTCACCCTACTATCTCCATCCAAGTGATGATCCAGGGAGGATTCTTGTAACAACTTTGCTGAATGGGGACAACTATCATACTTGGAGGAGAGCAATGCAAAATGCTCTTTACGCCAAGAATAAGATTGGATTTGTAGATGGAACTCTTGAGAAGCCGGAGACAACCTCACCTCAATACCAAGCATGGATGAAGTGCAATTCTATGGTGCTCTCTTGGATCCTTAACACAGTCACTAAAGAGCTACAAGACAGTGTGGCTTATGCAGAGACAGCAAAAGAAATTTGGAATGAACTGCTGGAACGGTTTACTCAAGGGAATGCATCTCGTGTGCATGAACTCAAACTCGAATTAGCAACATTGACACAGCAAACAAGGTCAGTTTCTGCTTATTTTACCAAACTAAAACCAATTTGGGATGAGTTACAGGCACATGAACCAGCACTTGTCTGCACTTGTGGCTGCACATGTGGGGCAGCAAAAGAATATGCAAAGGCTCGAGAGACGGAGAGAATCCACCAATTCCTAATGGGATTGAATGAAAACTTTTCCACAACTCGATCCCAAATATTAAGCATGGATCCTTTGCCCTCCCTAAATAAGGTGTATGCAATGGTAACAAAAGAAGAAAAGCAGCAAACAGTGGCAGCATCCAGAGGTCCAAATATAGAAGCCACAGCTCTTGCAGTAAGGGGACCATCAGGAAGGTCACGATGTGATCACTGTAAAAGGCTTGGGCACACTAAAGAAAGATGCTACGAGATCATTGGGTATCCTGTGAATTGGAAGCCTGGGATAGGCAAAACCAAGACAAAGGGTGAGGCACAAAAGACTGGACGAGAGAAAGACCATGCCTTTGTAGCTAATGCAGCACATGAGCCCACAGAGGAGTTATCAAATCAGTCTCCAGTTTCTGGGTTGAGCAAAGAGCAGTATGACCAACTCATCTTGCTTCTCGGTGGTAATACCATCTTTAATCACTCAGCCAACCACGCTGGTAAGGCACAAAACTCCTCTTTTCATTGGATCATTGACAGTGGGGCTTCAGCTCACATGACTCCACACCTATCTGCATTTACCAAAGCTAAACCTTATACCTCCCCTGTCCGTATACCAAATGGAACCTCTTTGGAGACATCACATGTGGGAAAAATAATTTTAACCAACGAAATCACTTTAGACAATGCCTTATGCATCCCAAAATTCACCTGTAATCTTTTATCAATCAGTGAGATAACCAAACAACTTGGTTGTGTTGTGATCTTCTTTCCTAACTTTTGCATTTTTCAGGACCTTACCTCGAGGAAGCTGATTGGAGTGGGTAGGCTTCATGAAGGGATGTATTATTGCAATTTTGGACATGTTGCAGCAGCCAGTCAACTAAAACAAAAGCAAAGCACTTCATATGAACTGTGGCATCAAAGACTTGGGCACATTTCTGCTGAACATTTATCCAAAATCCCTTCCCTTTGTTCTTGTTCTCCTCAAATAAAGCATGTTTGCGACATTTGCCATAGAGCCAAACAAACTCGATTACCATTTCCTATTAGTAATAATACTTCAACTCATATATTTGCCTTACTTCATTGTGACATTTGGGGTAGATATGCCACTCCCTCTAATACAGGTGCTCATTATTTTTTGACTATAGTTGATGATTTCTCTCGTTGCACATGGGTTTATCTTTTGAAACATAAATCTGAAGCTGCTTCATATTTGATGAATTTTTGTCAAATGATTGAAACTCAATTCCATACTCATGTCCAACAAATTCGCAGTGACAATGGAAAGGAATTTACTGAAGGGCTTCTAAAAGATTTTTGTCTTAAAAAGGGCATTTTACAGCAAACTTCTTGTGTGAACACACCACAACAAAATGGTGTCGTTGAGCGTAAGCATCGTCATTTGCTTGAGGTAGCTCGGGCACTTAGATTTCAAGCCAACTTACCTCTAAGTTTTTGGGGAGAGTGTGTTCTTACAGCCACATATTTGATTAATTTAACTCCCACACCAATTCTTTCAGGACTCACCCCCTTTGAAAAGTTGTTTAACAAACAACCCTGCTATGATTCTTTGAAAGTATTTGGTTGCCTTTGTTATGCCCACAATCATTCCCAAAATCGTGGAAAGTTTGATTCCAGAGCATCTAAATGCATTTTTATAGGCTACCCTTTAGGAAAGAAAGGTTACAAATTATATGATTTGGAAACTCACCAATTATTTACTTCTAGAGATGTGCATTTTTATGAAGATATTTTTCCTTATCAGTCTAAAGAAAATGAGCACCATCAAGGCAAATCTACTCCTACTGTCACGGTTCAGCCATTTGAAGAACATCCCTTAACCAATGACAATTCCCATGACAAGTCTGAGGAGAGTGCTCACCAGCCTGAATCCCTGGACCAACATAAGCCATTGGAGGAAACTCAAAATACACAGCCAACAATTGATCCACAACCTGCTACAGACTCAGGAAACCCACTTGTGCAATCTTTGAGGCCACAGCGAGAAAGACGTGCACCGCAGCATTTAGATGACTATGTTTGCAGCATGTCACAATCTGCCGATCCTGATCCAGTCACACTCCAGTCGGCTAACTCAGGTACTCTTTATCCTCTTTCTAATCATTTGTCATACAATTCCTTTTCTCCTAATCACAAAGCTTATTTAGCGGCCATCACCTCCTTAGATGAGCCAAAAAACATTTACCCAGGCTGTCAAGAGTGAACATTGGCGAGAAGCTATGAGAAAGGAAATAACTGCTCTTGAGCAAAACGGAACTTGGACACTTGAAAGATTACCTCTGGGCAAGAAGGCCATAGACTCCAAATGGGTCTATAAAATCAAGTACAATCAAGATGGAA